TATTTCAGAAAAGGCCAGAAACTTCGCTGAACTTTTGGTTAAGTTGTTAAACAGATGGAACAGCAGCACTTTATGGAGCCGATTCTTCGATTCCAAGAACTTTCCTTTTATTTGGATTCGATTTGTGTGTGTGCTTGTATTCGATTTGTCTATACGTCAGTGCTTAGTTTCCAGCATGTAAGTCTTAAATTTTCCTTTAATATATGTCTGTGTGTATAATGTCTGTGTGACTGTATGCCATGTATGGATGCCTGTGGAGGCCAGCAGCAGGGCATCCTTTGAAGCTAGAGTTACAGGTAGTTTTGAACCACTTGACTTTGAACTAGGAATCGAACTCTAGTCCTTTGGAAGAGGAATACTCTCAACTGCTGAGCCATCTCTACAGCCCCAAGTTTTTGACTGGTTAGGAATAGTACTGTTTTTAAATTACATTTCCATGTGTCCAAGTTGGGTATTGGCTCAGTTGAGTGCACAGCATGATGGAAGCCAACACAGCCCACATTTGGTAGTTCAAGCCTACAGTTCTGGCACAGGAGACAGAAGCACCAAGGTGCAAGCTCAAACCTTCTATCTAGCAACGTGAAGGCTGGCCTAGGTTCTGTGCAATGACTTTCTTTTCTCCAGTATTTATTGCTAGCTTCTAGATTTTTTTCTTTCTTTTTTGGTTTTTCAAGACAGGATTTCTCTGTGGCTTTGGAAGTTTTCCTGGAACTAGCTCTTGCAGACCAGGCTGGCCTCGAACTCAAGTGATCCGCCTGCCTCTGCCTCCAGAGTGCTGGGATTAAAGGCGTGCGCCACCAACGCCCGGCCTAGAAAGACTTTTTCTCTCTCTCTCTCTTCTCTCCCTTCCTCTGTTTTGGTTAGGATCTTGCCCAGTCTGCCCCCTAGTTGCTAGGCTCAAGGAATCATTCTGTCTCTTTGTCCAGAGTGACTGCAACTACAGGCACAAACCACCGCTCAGCTTACACAGTTATGCTGACCTTGTACCCTGTGGCCGGCTGAATTCACTGTCTGGAAGTTTTCAGATGGGTTTTCTTCACTGGTTTCCATTAGCTGGGCTAAAATCCAGGATGTTCCCTTCTTGTCCACTTCCCTGGGACTTCCTGCTGCTGCTCAGCAGTGACAGGCTCTTGAAGCATCCAGGCTTTTGTTAACTGGGATTTAGCTGTTGAGCTTTTTGCTGACATTTCTTATCAAGCTGAAGAAGTTTCTCTTTCAAAAAGAGAAGTTACTTTGTCTTTTGTGAAGGAGAGGTGAATTTTTTGAAAACTTGTGATTTTTCTTTGGGCTTTCTGAAGTTGTGAAGAGCTTACAAACTTCCACTTTCAGATATTCATGGCTCTAGGGCCATGGGGATGCAGCTGCTGCCAATACATAGTCTGCCATATCTCAGTGTGCTGCAGGGGGTGCAGTTGGAGCCAAAGCAAATACAGGACACATAGCCCTAAGAATCAACAGCACATGGCAGCGCAGGGCCCAGCTAAGCCGTGCAATCCAGATTCCTGTCACCTTAGAGTCCTTAACCTGTATCAACTGTGATGCTTCCAATGGATTTCTGAAGACTGCTGGACACCTCAGCTGATCCTGCCCTCCATCTTGGAAATGACCCAGAGGCCCCATGAGGATGACCTGAGTAGAAATGCCTCACAAGGCTAGGGCCAGCCCACTGCCCTTCAGAGCATGTTGTCTGACATGCTCACTCCTGCATCCAATGCCACCATGGAGAGAAATGAAGCCAGAAGTGCACAGGCCTCTCTGGGGTTGTGGCCTGGCCAATCATACTGTTGAGCTGACAGACTGAACTGAATTGCTCAGGTTTGGTCTACAACTAGAGCTGTCCAATGACTAAAAGGAGTCCCCGAGCAAGAGTGGATTTCCTCTGGAGAGATATCAGAATTAGAAGGCAGGACCAAATCCCAAGCCAGTCATAGCAACTTACCTCGGATTTTGTTTTACCACTGTGCAGGTAATGAGGTATGGGGCTGGGAACACACTGGGTAGTTAACACACTCTACCACTAAGTTACATGCCCACTACCTCAGAATTTCAATGTCCAGACCTGTGTGATGACATTTACCTAGAATGTCAGCACTTGGGAAGGCTGAGCAGAACTGTCACAAAGCTGAGCCCACCCTGGGTCAGACAGCAGGACTGTCTCAAAAAATGCCAAGTACTGGGAGTTGGAAGGAGGATTTGGATTTCATTCTCAGCCACACAGTCAATCTGAGGCCAGCATGGGCTACAGGAATTCACCTCAGAAGGCCACAAGAATTTACATGTCAGGACTACAGGAATTCACCTCAGAAGGCCACAAGAATCTACATGTCAGGACCACTAAAGGATGTCTCTCCTCATGTCTCTATCTTGCCATTAGAATCCAACTGTGCGTGGGGGGGGGCAGTGTGTTCTGGTCAGTCCAGAGCAGAGCACCATGTCTTCTGTGACCCACCCCCAGCTACTCCTCCCCACAGAAGAACACACAAACACCAGAGGCAGCTTGGGCAGCACTTGTATACATCATACATTTATTAGTGAATATCCCTCTGAAATCAGCAACAATATTAAAAAAAATAATGATTGCACTACTTGGTCAAGCAGAACTAGCAACTTTCATTTTAAAAAAAGTACAAATCTGTTAAAAATTTCAATCCGTATACACATATATAATACAACATACTAGTTATGTTAAATGCTACAAACCAATGTGAGTCCAACGGGATGGAAAAAACCACACATTTAAGCTTTAAGAACCATTTTCTCTATATATTAGCATTTTCTCAAATACATACATGGGAAAAATGAGGTAACTGTAAGATGTGCAAGGAACAGGGCCCCCAAATCACATGTGTTTATATATATATATATATGTGTGTGTAATTATATATATATATGTGTGTATATATATATAAAAACCTTTCTAACAGAACACAGGCGCTGGGCCCAGCAATGCTGGGGGAGGTGCCCACTGTCATGCCTAGGCCAGAAGTTGGTAAATAAAGAGTAAACAATGCCGAGCCCCCACCACAGGAAATCATTGGTGACATGGCATCTACAGCAAGGTCGGCAAATCACAAACACCCCAAGTAATTTTTTGATAAATCTTTCTTAAATGATTTAAAAAAAAAAAAAAAAAAAAAAAAAAAAAAAGAAAAAGGTATATTCCCCCATAGCTGCTTGTTGGAATTGTCACTGCAGCCAACACAATCCATGAGCCAATTTTGTTGCCCCAGGAACCACAAGGGCTTGAAAACCTTTTGTTGGGGTGAGGAAGGGACCAGGGTTGGATTAAGGTGGTTCTCTGTGTAAAACACGTGGATTTTCAACACTGCTATAAATATAGAAACATCACCTGGAGTTATATACAGTAAGACTTTGGGTTCTTGTGGGGTGGGACCAGGCCGATGGGCCTCCTGGCAGGCTGGGGTGGGAGGCAGGGAGCCAGGGCTGCTGCAGGGGAACGAGGGTGGTTGGAGCATCCCTGAGGCAGCAGGCGCCTATGGCTGCCTGCTAGGATGTGCCGGCCCCACACGCGGTTCGTTCACTGGGCAGCAACCCCAGATGGGGAAAGGAAAGGAGTAGGACCTGAAAGGAGGGTAGGGAACTCAGCCTCCTCCAGACCTTGGAGGGCAGGGATCAGGCTGGGAGGGGCCCCCAGGTGGAGGTTCACACCCTCCCTGATCTCTGTCCTCAGGGGATTCCTAGGAGGAGACTCAACCAGGCAGGTGGGAGACAGCCCCTGGCTGGAGGAAAGTCCCTGAAAAGCAAACGGTCCCGGTAGGCTCTAGGGACATGTGCAGTACAGTGCATGGCAGTTATCAGCTGAGCACAGACCCCCAATCTGCCCTGTGACTCCCAGCCGCCCAGTGCAGTCCCAGCCGCACACTCATATGGAGGCCTGGTGCGGCACAACCTGACCCTTCTCTGCCCCCTGGGCATTTGGTCCTGGTTGGTCCCTAATGCCCTCACCCCACTCCTATTAAACCAAAAAAGAAGGGGGAACAAAACAAAACAAAACCCCAAAACAAAAAAAAAAAAAAAAAACAAAAAACCCCAGAAAAAAAAAAAAAAAAAAAAACAAAAAACCCCAGAAAAAACAAAAAACAAAACAAAACCAAAACCCAAAAAACAAACAAACCAAAAAACCCCACTAAACACCTCTAAATATCCACACCCCCTGCACGCAATTCTGGGCCAAATGAATAAACAAAAACTGCTGTTCCTCACATTCATGCAAAACGACAGGGGGAGAAGATGGAGCGTGGGTCTGACGTCGTAGCTGGTGGAGGGGCAGCCACCAGGAACAAAAGGACATGCCCAGATCGTGGCTTGACTCCTGCAGAATGTGTGTCCAGCTTGGAGCCCCCATCCCATTTTCTCAAAGAGCCTGGCAGGGATGCCCTCCAGCCTGGGGGTGAGCTGGAATGCTGTACCTGGGGGTGAGGGTCCTGGGGAGTCAGACCCATCTGCACAGCAGTGAAGGCAGAGCCGACGGCCTAAGTCTGTCTGGAGTCGAACAGGACTCAGACCTGGGACTTAGGCTTTCTGCCCACAGACCTGGCAGTACCACCTGTGCAGGGAACACTTCACTTCAGTGCAGGAGACCAGCTGACCCAGGGTGGCTACTCCTTTGCCCATTTTGGGGCGGGAACCACACCAGCCACCACACGTGGGGATGGACTCCTGCCTCCCAGAGCCAGCAGGAAGAAGGGCCCAAGGACAAACTAAGAGGCACACTGAGTTGGGGACACTCAGGCAGCTCCATGGCGGGCGGGCGGGCGGGCGGCCGGGCAGGCAGGCAGTTTGGGGAAGGAGTCTTTGGAGCTTGGCAAACGCAGGGGCTTATTGCAGGGGCTTCTCCAGGGCTGACCCTGGCACCAGCTCTGGAGTTGCAGGTGGGAATGCTGAGACAGGCCTGGGCCCCACCCTTACAGTTCTCCCTGGGCCACTCCCTGCCTCCCCCCACCCGTTTCCAGAGCTTTGGGCAGGGTGGCTGCGGAGCCTCACTCAGCCTCCCTGGGCACCTCGGAGGCATCGGCTCGGCAAATGGGACAGGTCCGGTTGGCCTGGGAGGAACAGCCACATATCAGACCTCACTCTTACCTGACCTCCCTGCTCCCACCTATTTGACTTGGATAGACTCCCCATACCTGTGCACTGGGGCTTCCCGGGAGTTGGTTTAGGCCACCTTACCTTCAACCACTTGTCAACACACTTGGCATGGAACTCGTGGTTGCAGGGGAGGACTCGGAGCAGCTGCCGCACCTCAAAGTCACTGAAGCAGACCACACACCTGAAGAGGAACACAGTGTCACGCCCACACCGACAGCTGAGTACCCTCCCAGGGGTCTCGGTGCAACACTCACAGAGTCTGCTCAGACTGATGGCTGTCAGGGTTAAAGCGGTACGACGGCAGCTGCTCTATGTCTGCTTTGGTGAGGCCTCGGGGCTTGGCATCTCCCAGCCGCTCAGCCAGGTTCAGGAGGGCCTAGAGCCAGGCAAGGGAGGTCAGCAGCACCTAGAGCTGGCGGCCTCCCGTCTCCACCTCCCATCACAGGCATCACAGACCTCATAGTTCTCCATCTCCACGTCATCCACATCCAGACCCAGGCTGATGGTGGGGCCCATGGTCGTCGGAGACATTGGCAGCATTGAACTGGAGGAGCCAGAGTGCGGGTCAGCAGGGGGAGGCTGGACAGAGCGCCCACCCTCCACCCCTGCATGCAAACAGCACAGAGCTCTGCAGTTTCAAATCAGGCCCCTGGTGTTTGTTCAAGCACACCAGAAGAAAGGCAGGGACAACTGCTGTGTGTGGTGTGGGCTACCAGAGCTGGGGCGGTCCCTAGAAAACAAGGCCCAACGGCTCTAAGGAAGTTACGCTGGCACTTACAGGAAGTAGGGGAGGAAGCTTGGGGAAGAAAATGGAGGGGGCGGTGGCGGGGGCGGCGGCGGCAGCGGCTGTTGTAGACGGTATCTTTGTGTGCTCAGTCTTCTTGGCATCATGTGGGAGTAGGGCTGCAAACACAGCAGGTGTGGTGGGTCAATGGGCAGGCCTGTCTGCCGGCTGCCCTAGGCTTGCTACGGGGACAGGGGTGGCACTTACCACACCAAAGGACAGCTCCTGGTGCAGCGGATCATGGGGCAGGTAATGAAGGGGCATCGAGGGTGACAAGGCTGGGCCAGTGGCAGAGGTGGAGTAAGAGAAGCTACCTAAGGGGTGCTGGTCCCCTCGAAGGTCCATATCGTTATCCAGCCGCTGCAGGGACTGGAAGAGGAAGGGATGGGTCAGCCAGCTGCTCACCACAAAGTCCTGGCCTTCCCTGCTCTGCCCTCCCCCTCAGCTCCCCAAACTCACCATTCGTGGGTGCTGGCTCTGCAGTGACACAAACTGCCCAAGTGGTGCCATGTGGGTGGGCTGGGGTGGCGGGGCCGGCGGCGGGGGGTGAAGAAGGTAGTGGTCACTGGAGAGGAGGTGGGGGTAGGTGTGATAGGGCACAGGAAGCTGCTGCATGGTGCATGCCTGGATCAGCTGCAGAGAGACGGCACAGAGCTGGGCTTGTGTGCTGTGCTATGGAGGCCAGGGCACACCACACAGATGAAGGCTCTTACTGTACACACAGAGCCAGGAGCTACGGCAGCTCTGCAAGTCCCTCCCTTGTCCTAGGCCGCCAACACAGGGTGCCACACCACAGCCTCCACTGCAGTGCGGCTGCCAATGCACAGAATAACCCCTGACCTCTAAACTGCCTCATACCTCTGTGGGAGCGCACACGCGCGCACACACACACACACACACACACACACACACACACACACACACACACACACACACACACACACGTGTCCTTTGCCGAGAAGGGTCATGGCTAGCAGGCTAAGTCAGTATACTGTCAGCCTGCACGGGCACGGGCACTTTGCTCAGCTGCTAAGGGTGCCCATGATCACACCTGCTGGGACGGGCAGGGGGAGAAAGCACTCACTCACCGGAGGTGGGAGGCAGCAGAGGGGGTAGTGCTGCCCACTGAACATCACAGAGCATGCCGGGAGCTGCTGGGTGCTGCAGCCAGGGATGGGTTGGCTGGCAGGCAAGGGGAACCCTTGGGTGGTCACGGTGGTGACTGTGTAGGACAGAGGGACAGGCCCCTGGTGCACCTGTGGAGAGAGCACCAGGGAACTGTAGGAGGCCAGGCAATGTGGTGCATGTCTTTAATTCCAGCACACAGGAGGCAGAAGAGGCAGTCCAATCTCTGGGACATGAGGCCAGCCTGGTCTACATAGGGAGTTTCATGCTAGCCAGGGTTACATAGTGAGACCGGGTCTCAAAACATAAAGTCCTGTTGGTAGCAAGGCGGTGGTTGTGCACATCCTTAATCCCAGCACTGGGGAGGGAGAGGAGGGAGAGGCAGAGGCAGGAGGATCTTTGTGAGTTCAAGGCCAGCCTGATCTACAGAGCAAGTTCCAAAAATAGGCTCTAAAGCTACAGAGAAGCTGTGTCTCAAAAAACAGAAAACAAGAGTCCTGTTGGGCAGAACTCATGTCCTAATGAATCCTTTATAATAGGCATCCCAGGGCCCCCCCTCTGGGCCTGCCCCCCCCCCCCCCCCCCCCCATCACGGGACTAACATGCAAGAGAGAATCAGCTTTGCTTCTTAGACTACTTGATAGAAGCTGGGGTGGGGGTGGGTTAAGAGTTGTCCTACCTACCTGTTCGTGGAGATCAACCATGAACGGGCTCTGCTGGGCAACTGGGTGCAGCATTCGTGGGCTCCTGCCGGCAGGAGCTGAGGCTCGGTGCTCCTCTACAGAGAGGTGTGGCGGTCGGGGCAGCAGCTGCTGGGAGGGGAAGTGCTCATCCCGGGCAGGTGGGCTGGCCAGGGGCCCCTCGTGGCCAAGGCTGTACCACACAGAGGAGCCCCAACACTCATTTATAATGCAGGGAGGGAAGCCAGGGTCATAACCCACACTAGGAAGCCAAGATAGCTCTGGGGCCTGGGGCCCTTTGCCCCCAATCCAAGCCAAGATGGCTGCCCTTGAACTAGGGATGGAGACTTCCTCCTACCTTCCCCAGAGCTGGCCTGGACTGCTGCTAGATCTTGTAGAGAATCGCCAGTGACCCACAGGGGCAGAGGGTGGCCACTTAGTCACCGCCAGAGCCCATGGTCTCATCAGGGAGGCAGGGAGGCAGAGGAGCTGGGCCGGGGCTCACAACCCTAGGAAGCAAGCAGAGGATGACATCAGAGTGATAGAAAGATCCAGTTGCTTGTACAGTTAGGAATGGTAAGACTGATAAAACCTGGACAGGTCCTCCTCTGGAGCCTGGGGTCCAATGTTGACAGGCTAGACTTAGCTGGATCAAATCTCAGAACATGGGTAAATTCAGAGAAAGCACCGGTACGCTTCTGGGCCAGCTGGCTGCAAAGAGGCTCAAGCTGGAGGAAGCTCCCTTAAGCCTGGGGCTACATCTTGGCCTCCAGGCAGATGGGGCTCTTGGGAGCTCCAGGTTCTCTTTTAATGTGGCTTGTTGAAGAGGAACTCCAAAGAGGCCTGGACTCACTCTCAAGTGCTAGGTAAGATTGTCTGAGCCATTCCCTGAATTCCCACCCTTGGAAACTTTTGTTCTAAGGTCAGACACCATCCTCTCTCCTTAGCCCTTCACCCTGGTGCACACTCAGCTGTGATACCACCCATTAATTAAGGAAAGCTCTTAGCAGGCTCCGCAGAAGAGGCTCCGTGCCTTAGGTCCCATATACGTGTTGAAACTAGGAAATAGGGCAACTTCAAGCCTGTCTCTACACCTTGCTGCTGACAGTGAAGGCCACCTCAAGGCTTCAGGGGGCCCAGGAAAGAAACCTGTCACTGGCAGCATGCTGGGCCTGGCAGCAGCCATGTCCTTGCTCTGGGACCCAATGTGGGAAGCAGAGCCTTTTGAAAAGGATGAATCTGAGAAAGACGAGTGGGAACGGGCCAGGGCCGGGGCTCCAACCTAGGCTTTCACTCCGAACTTGAGTCAGGAGGAAGCCTTGGCAAGGGACACTGTGAACCCCATGAGGCCCCGAGACACTATCACACTCAGCCAGCCCCCTGCCATCACTGCCACAAGGTGGCCTTTCCACTCTTTCTCAACCAACAAACCTATGCAAATCTAATGTCCAGTTCCAAATGTTGCTACCTGCTGACAGAGCAAAGCAGTAAGGCCATTTAAGCACCTCAGTCATTCCAGTGAACATCAGAAGAACCATTTCCTTTACCCAGGACTCTCCAAGTTTGGGTCCCAATTCTCCAAGTCTCAACAGGAGAGTGCCTTCTCCACATTATCCAAGGGTACCTGGCCAAAGCCACAGCTGGAATTCACTTCTGTTCTGGCACTCAGCAGGGGAGGGATTCTCTGAATAAAGCCCATCATGGAGGTGTATAAAAGCACACAGTCTGGTAATGATGACAGGGTGTTGCCAGTGAGTCAAGATTGGGAGATTATAAATTACTCCCCACAAATCTTAGTCTCTAACTGAGGCTAAAAAGGGAGGGGACACTTGTCCTCCTCAGTCAGAAAACCGGTCTTCTCTCTGCACCTGGCCATCGTTGATGACTGGCTTTGTGAACCCTGGCTGGGGCCAAATGCAGATGCTCAGACACATAGCTCCTCACTTCCCGACTCCACGCCAGTCCCACACAAGCGCCAGGAGTAACCCACCCCTCAAATACGTGCAACAGGAATCCTGGCCCACCCCAAACCAAGAGACAGGGGAATCAGTGAGGGATGGTGCTGACAGCCACAGCACCACCCCAACAACACCCCCAACTTCTTGCCAGGGTGGGTCTTAGGCCCATGGCCTCTGGACCCTGAACAACAGACTCCTCCACTGTAAAAATGGGAACACCCTAAGAATGATCTCCCAGCGAACCAGCAAGGGCCACTCAAAAGTTAACAGAAGACTCAATCCTTAAAGGGAATGGCAGCTGAAGGGTGAACATCGTTACTGGAAAGTAAGATATCCTGCACTTCAATCCTGACAGACACAAGGTCCCTACCCTAGGTGCTGAAGGACTAGAGGCATGCTGTCCTAGCTGTGTACCCCGGCAGGGAAAGATGATTCTGTAACTTACCAGGAACAAAAGTGGTCAAGAGGGGACACGCCCATTTCAGTTACTGAAGCCCCAAGGAGTTGCTCTAGACCACGGGGAAGGGAATTAATTGGTCCTGGCTGGTGCCCTACACCCACACTCCCCAAGTCCCATCCTCTCATGATGACAGCGGTCAGAGGAAAAACCACATACTCCTTCTAGAGGACACGCTGAATCTCTTTTTACTACCAATGAGTAGCTGTGCTGGACACGAGCTCGAGACACAATCAAGGTCAACCAGCAACACTACTTTACCACACCTCTTCACTGTACTCTCTCCCCTAAGTCCGATCCTGCCCCCAAGAGTCCACAACCCTGTCAGGCAGGTACAGTGTCCCAAGCACACATCTGACCCTGGCGTGGAGTCTGTTTGCAAAAAGAGACGTTCGTTCTCTTCTTGAAGACCAGCAAAGTTAGACTCCAAGACCGAGAGCAAGCTTAGGCGGGAAAACAACCTCCCCCCTCCCTACTTGCTCGTCCAACTCCCGTCTAAACGGGAGCTTCCCAACTCGCAGTTAAGTCAGCAGAGGCAGTTGACGGTGGGACCACCGCACGTTGGCCAGTGTAGGCTCCCTGGGTGACCTTGGTTAAAGAACTCCTTTAGTTTTCGCTATGCCTCAGTTGCAACAAATTAAAACCGGGATTGAAATCTCCTCAGGGCGCCCCTAAAAAGCCAGATACCAGAAACCAGGTGTTCACATTCGTGGGGGAGGAAAACAAAGTCCCCAGGATCAGGCTCCTTCTTTAAGCAGGCCAGACGCAGGCAGTGGGGTTCCAGCAGTCTTCCAAAGCCACCCCTCCCTGGGGACAGGGCCCAAGCTCGCACACCTGTCCCAGGAGGGCCCCCGCTGACCCCTCTGACTCCGTGGTGCCGCACTCGGAGGAACACCGAGGGACGAGGCCGGGCCGCAGCGCAAGGGCTAGAGCGCTGTGGCTTTAAGAACCGAGGATCCGGGACCATGTGCTCGGCGTGAGACAAAAGCAACAACAAAGGAAGTGGCGGCTGCAGGGGGAGGGGGTGGCTCCTTCCCTCCGCCGCGGCGCCCAGCTCCGC